ATATATATATATATATATATATATATATATACATATATATATAATCCTAATCTACAGTACATAAGATAGTATTAAAACTTCTACATCAATTATATCACTTCTTTACGAACAACTTTCAGATCGAACTTATTCTACCTGTAAGTTTCCTGACCACGTCTGAAGACATAGTGATCTGAAATATAATGACAAGCAAGAGGATGAACACCAGAACCAAGGAGAAACCCGACGAATAAATATGCAAAAGCCTTCCAACCAAAACACGTTATTACAACATAGTCCACCATAATTTGGATAATCGCGTTTAGAATTTCTAAATCCGTAATAGCCTGAAATTTGAAAAATGATCAAACAATAATGACTGAAAGTAGATCAGTAAAATGTTAGCGATCATGAAAACCAATTCATTTGATAAACAGGCTAATATTAAGAATGTTGCCTTTACATTAATAGAAAAGACGGTAACAAGAAGCGTAAAAACTAACTTTGGGATAGATTAAAAACGGCCGAGTACCATAAAATACTGGCTGCAAAAATAACCACAACAATTTCCCTAAAGTATGCTTGAAATATCGCGTTTCAAATACCGTTGGTACATCAGTGTCCAATACGTCATATCCTAAAATATATGTCCTAAATGATGAAAACAACTCATTATTATTTCGTGAAGCCGCTAAAAATGTTTATTACGCAGAAAAAACCTGAATAATTTAAAAACAAAAGATGACTCAGTGATACCCATATAGCGATGATGCTCCTGATGGTATTTTTTGAACGAAACTGACATAGGTATCATCATTGGTAAATTAGCAACCATTCCAAATAATCGGTTCTTGAGATAAATGTATTTAAACTTTCAAAACTTGTTTGGAATCAAGTACTCTAATTTTGTCTTTTACTAACTGTAAGCTCAAATTTTATTTTCAAAATAGTATTTTGTTGAAACATGTCAACCTTATTGAACCGGAAATGACAATAAACAAACTGCAAGGGGATGAGCACAACCAAATGCCATATTGTGTGAAATTTCGTGAACTGCTAATGTAAGAGAGTGTCCAAAGGTCCCACTAGTGCAGTAAGCTTGGAGACAAATTAGAAGCCAGTCAGAATCTAAAATGTACACAAAAATATTATCCTAAAACTAATTACAAAAGCTAATTCAGCAACCTTTCAGTAAATGATAGCAGTACGAAAAATAAGCAAACCTTTCTATCAGTATTTAAAGTTCTATAATTCTATTTATCAACAATTAAATAACTAACTAACATCCTATAATACTAATAAATAAGATAAGAAATACGTTTGCTCACTTATACCGAAACGAAATTTTCAAAATATTAGATTTTCTGCCTCTGATCAATAGAAAACACAAAATAAATATTAAATGTTTTAATTTAACCTCATTGAGTTTCCAAACCTTTCTTTAAGAAATTATAATTCTTTAAGATCAGAATATATTCTTAATTAAGATGTAAAATCTAATTCAAGAATTATTTAATGGATAAGCAAACCTCGTAAAAGCCAAGCAATACTAAATTGAGCCAATACCATTGCTACCACAACATACTTGAACGACGGATCAATACCAAAATACTTCTTGATTTCTGGGTACTTCTGTATTATCTCAAGCCTTCTAAACAAACGTTTCACTGACTATTGCTACTTACAGTTCTTATCTGCCGTACAACTTGCCAGCTCAGCAGTCACATTTAATATAATCGAAATACTTTTCAGTCACTTTCTTTTGCGATCGTAGTACACTTATTACTCATTCATATGAAAAGAACTGACCTGGCTGCGTGTGGCTCTTCTGTATAAGACCAGTCAAAATCACCAGCTTCTTCTACCTTCATCCCTGACATTCACAATTACAGTACCGTTCATTATATCAAAGAGTAATTAAGAAAGAAACTGGTCGCCAGTATTATTCATTTCATTAACTTCAAAATGCACTTTACTAAATGCAGCACTTTACTCTTAAATGCACTTTACTCAACTCTAAAGACCTGAATTTTTTGTTCAACTATACATTTTCATACAAAAATTTATTAGAATCAGAAGTGACCTTCCGAAACTTCATCTAAGAGATCTAAGAGACATGCACTTCCTTGTCATTACTTTTTTACAACTTACATGCAATATCTTCAATTTCTAAGAGTTTGTCTACTTATAAACAAATCATTACTCAATGAAAGAAAACGAAAACTTAACTCAGTTAACTGGTGATCTATTACCAACTTCGCCAGTAAACAATCATGAAAAATCATACTTAACTGAGAACTTTTTTAATTTATATAACTTATATACACAGTAGAACTAGTTTCGATGTGGTAAGTATAAATTCTTCACAGTCCACACAAGACTTAATTGGTGATTACTTGATATTCATACTTTTTCAAACAAGTCAAAAATATTTGTATATGTAACGTAACAGGATAAGTTAAATAATTACAGTACTGAGAGTAGTACAAACTTCGGTACATTACTGGGTACATATAAAGCCTGGCTTCACAACACACAACCAACTGAGACCTACAGTGCTTCCAGCATATCCACGAACTTATGCACTGTCAAGAAAAACTGATTCATTTTTACATACGGAGTCTATCATACGTGGTAGCGCGAAATGGCAGGGGTTGGGAGTCAAGTTGCCGCATCACAGTGTTGACCTTGATGATAAGATTGTAATAGTAATGATTTGGCTTTAGTTCTGGTTGTTCATCCATATACGAGATCATGTCTGTTGTTCCAAAGAAAGCGAGTTATTTCCAAGATCCAGCGTTTTGGCAAGTATTCTACAGCAGTACTCAGACTCCTTTTGAATGGTAGAGTATTGAAACTTTTAATATTGCTGACAGTATATTTGAATTGAAGAGATTTATTTCAAAAATTTCCACAATTACTTTTCATATACCTAATTTTCACAGGTATGGTGGTTTCGACAGTGCTGGATTCATTCTGAAGAAATATATTAAACCAACAGATAAGATATTACAAATTGGTTGTGGTAATTCAGAGCTTGCTAGCCAGGTATACTTTTGGTTCACATTCTCTATATTGTTTGATTAATGCCCATCGAACTGATAGTAATATTTATTAAGTTGAAATCAATAAAGTTTTCTTGACAATGGATAAGTATTTCTGGCGCATTTTTTGTTAATTAAAAATATGTTATTATTACTCTTATTCAAAATATTTTCTGAAAAACATGTGTTTGCATATGCATCAAAAAATTTGAATTTTCCGATTACTGAAAATGCACTCTGTCTGTAATTGCACTGTACTGCTGAGTTTGTTGGAGCGTTTTATTTGAACATGTTTCAGCTTTATGATCACGGATATCGAATGGTTGACAGTATAGATACTGATAAAGGAGTGATTGAACAACAAATCGCATCAAATAAGTCAACGAGACCTGAACTTAAGTTTTCGTGTTGTTCAGCAACAAGCGTAATTTTTATGTTTACAATTCTTATCCCATTTTCGTGACAGTTTTTAAAATATAGTTTTCTAGAAAAATACTGTTTTATCTATTTTACATTGCTGACAACTTATCACACTTAAACTTCTTTCTTTCACAACTAATAATTTGGATGTAGTCATATTTAGAAGCATTTTCTAATGCAAAACATAATAGATTGATGCGCCAGATGAGGATTACAATGTTGTTGTGGATAAAGGAACTCTTGATGCGTTAATGCCGTCTGCTAATTCCCATGCAGCAGAAATCGTCTGTAAAATGTTTTCTGAAATTTGCCGAGTGCTTACAGTTGGAGGCCGATATATAGTTTTTAGTCTTGCTCAGAAAGAAGTGCTTGAACCCTTTACATTATATTTTGTGCATAAGTTCGTTTTCTTCATGTCCTGTTTTCTACTCTTTAATACTAACTTGTTCTTGCAGTTGATAATTTATACAAGTTTTTTTATTTTTTCAAGTAAAAACTTTATAACGTCAAAAATAACATTTGTTTCTCCCGCACAGTTGTAAATTTTCAGACAGTTTTTCATGATACGGGTTGAGAGAAATGTTCATCCTGATTGGCAATTTCCTCTTCCATTATTCGTATTTGTTGCAACGAAACTTCGCTTCTCGCTTAGTTCACCTGTGAGTACTTGCATTCTTTGTTATTTCTAATAAAGTATGGAGTCATGTACAATAATCAATTTTAGTGCTTAATTTAACTACTGAAAGTTTGACATGCTTTATGTTTTTTTTGTGATTTTGAAAGTATTTTCACATGAGAAAGATGTGCAGGGTACGAAATATGGAGGATTAAAGTCTGAATATCATTTGTTTTTACCATTTTAAGTATATGGAGCTTTTAATGGCATCAGACCAAAAAGCAGTAAAGTATACTAATACGAGTGAATTATTCGCTGCAGTGCATACAGAGCAAGAATTCTCAAGATTTCGTCATCTTTGTTCCAAGTATTTGTCTTTCAATGTACAATTAGCATGAACACAGTTTTCTGTTCTTCAGTTCTGTGGAAACTGATTCTGTTGCGTTAGTTTATCGAATACTTAACTTAGTGAAATCATCTTGAAGTTGCCAGCTTATATTTTGAATCTATAAATTTTTGCAGTAAATTGTGTGATGAAGTTAGTATAGTACTCTATGGTCACGATGAGAAACCTCGGTATAAAGTCGCTGTAGCAGATGATCTGACGGCTAAGACGATAAATAGCTTTGCTGTTTTTATCGTTCCACTTGGCAGGTCGTCTTTTGATCTTCCCTCTTTTGAGCTCATATTTCCAATTGCCAGGATTCGGCAAAGCAGCAATTAAGAATTTCAGGGATGGAGATTGGTTCTTTGCGACGGAAAAAGGGCGTCTAGCTTTGCGAAAACAATGTGCTAAAGATAGATTAGCCATTGTTACGCTGTTTCGAAATCAAATGTACAAGGATATGAATCAAGTAAAAGAAGAATTGGGTCCATACGTCGTGCAGCTCACTCCAACTAATTTGGTTGGATCAGTGGATCAAGCCAGAAACTTCTATAATAATGAATTTTTATTTTCAAGAATTTAGTTTTTTATGGTTTGCCTAGCATTTTTAGAACACTTTTTTTGCAGCGGAATTCGGTGGTTGAATTTCTTTCACTTGGAAAGCTTGATGTCAAGCATACTCGAGCTACAGGTGTTTCAGCTATCAGCGGGTCTTGGGTAGTAGAGGATGTTCAAGTAAAAGATAAAACGTTCCGAAGACTTATTTTTCTGTCTTCCTCAAGTCTCGTGCAGTCAGAAGCAAGACTTCTCAGTGAGCATTTTTGAAGAGCGTACTAAATTTAATGTTACAGAACGTGATTCTAATTTTCATGAACTGCTTGGCATTCTTCTCTCTCTCTCTCTCTCTCTACATATATATATATATAAGAATTAAGGATTTCTGATGACAGTATTGCCGAACATTAAAGATTATAAGCAAAAACTGTCACATCACAGCAACATTTAAATAAATATATAGATTTAAATGTTGCTGTTACCTGACAGTTCTTGCTCGTATATATATATAGGAAGAGTTAAACACACAACAAATTGTTAACAAAATTCAATCAATTTACTAATTAAGAAATTTTCTAGAAAATAAGAGAGGTCACGAAATTCTAGACTTACATGAGCTGAGCTCAGGATATCAGGAAGCAATGTTAGCTGCTTTACCTTTCGCATTGCAGCCTGGTGCAAAATTGTCTCAAATGACCCAATTGCGGTATTTTTTTGTTGTGCCGTTTCCTGCATTCTTTGGATGCTTATAATCTATTTATAATATCTGCCATGTCAAAGGATACTCACTGAAAATTCTTGCTTCAGATTGCTGGTTCTGGGATTGGGTGGTGGCGTTCTGCCTTCTTTTCTGCGTTTCAAATTTCCATCGGTAAGGCTTAAGTCAAAAAGAGCTATAGTTTTTTGTTGCAAAAATGTGCTAGAAATAATTTTCCTTTACTTCTGTTTCAGATGTCAGTTGTAGTTGTAGAGTTGGACAAAGAAATGGAAGAAATTGCTAAAAAATGGTTTTATTTCAAATCCAGTACACGTTTGACTGTTGTGATTCAGGATGCACTCACATACATAAAAAATTTAGGAGAATCTCACGGTCGAAATATTTTTCATGCAGTTTCAGTGATTAATTTTAAAGTTTAAAAGTTTTTTGATTTTATTTAACGTTTTTGATGGCTATCTAGCTATTGTTTCAGATGAAAAATTTTTGTTTGATGTAATTTTTATTGATGTGGCTGGAAATGAGCGTGGAAATGAATTAAGTTGTCCACTGCCGTCGTTTGTAACAGAAGAAGCACTCAAGGCAGTATGTAATGGACTTCGCGAGACCGGTAGAGGCTCTTTTAAAAAATTTATTTAATACCATTGTACTGAGTTAGTAACATATATGCTATATATAGTTATTTATGTATGCTACCAACTTAGTAAGATTCACAAGTATTGTATTAATTCTTCTTGACGTTTCAATTTTGAAGTCTTTTATAACGATAAGATTCCATAACTTTTATGTTAAGTAAGCTTTCCTATGTAAAATTTAAATCCTTATTAAGTAAAATCATATTTCTTATCTGGTTTATTTGCTTCAGACGGGTTTAATTTTGGGTTGTCCATTGCAGTACAATGCTGTTATTTAATATTTCAAATTGTTTCATACATAAAAATATAAGATACTTGAGGACATGAAAGAGGAATATCATTTATATGTTTTTTTTGAATCTTTTATGTTTTGATAGTCATATATTTTTTCAGGAGTTCTTGCTTTAAACCTTGTATCTCGAAATCAAGAAGTTATTGGGGAAGTAAAAAATCGTTTATTGTCTACTTTTTCACGTTATTATAATCACGTTAATGGTGAGGATGTTAATGAGGTATGTATTTTTTTTGAACTGCTTTGCAAAGTATAAGATTTTTGCGTTTTTTTAATCAGATGTGAATCAAGATTTGTATGTAGATTTCTATTGTTTGTTGTGGAATTCAAAATAATTTTTGCCTCTACAGTACGTGCAAAGCGTTGTCCTCGTAGATTAGCGAGTATGCTTGGTTTTCACAAGATTCAAGTCCTTATTTTTATTTTTAAGGTTTTGATCTGTCCTAAAATACCAAAAAGTTTGGCTGATGCCAAGAAAGCTTTGGGAAATTACGAAAACGCCAAAGGTTCGCTAAGAAATTTGTACACGAACATTTTATCACTGGGATTTCGCAAAAAAAAGATGAGATAGATATTCCCAATGTACTGTAAGAAATGCACTATTAATTTTTTTGGGATTGCGTGAAAAATCGATTTGTTCTCCATTTTTTAAAATGTTTCATCTTTAGAGTTGAATAAAATTCCGATGAACTTTTTTCAGTTTTCATTCCTAAGACCAGACAAAATTCGGGAGTTTTTCTGCAGAATAAAATTCTTTTATCCTCTTGCTTGTATTTTCGATACTCTAATTTGTGAATGTGCCAGATAATTCTTCGTTTGTCTTTTTTTTGGCTGTTTTTCGTATGAATGTAGTGTTTCAAAAGTATATATGGTTATCTGTCCTCGGAAAACGTTTGACTTCATTCTTGTTAAATTCAGGGAGAGTTTTGTTATGTTTATTTTGAAAAAATAAGATAAAAAGAATTCCTCGTTACAGCTTACTTATATCGGGATTTGGTAAATTGCAATCTTTTCATGAGAATGTAAATAATGAATTTGAAAATTTTAATTTCAGAGTAGAAGAGAAATAGTGTTATTTTTTTATTACATTAATAGCTTTTGGATATAACAAGACTTTTATTGAATTAAGTTTGTAAAAAGTTGGAAACATTACTATTCTCTCCTTAATGATCTGATGATTGCAAATGGAAATATTTGTTTTGATCAAGATTTTTCATGCCGAGGAAGATTTTTCGTTGTATGATTGTATCCTTGTTGAATTTCAAGATTTTCTTGGTTGTTAATCTTGTTTGAATTATTTAGAGCCCTTCATTAACATGAATGCCCGTGATTTGTTATCTTTATATTCAGTGCTCATTGTATGAATAGTTGAATTAAATACATTATGTAACAATTTAAGTAAAAGATAATTTTTGGAAGCGTATGTGCATCATTATAGTTTAATCAGCGGCATCAACGTTAGTGAGTATTATACTGATTTTTTTAAACGATCTAAGGAGGTATCAAACAAAATATTTATTTTAAAAAACAGTATTATTTATTCCCAAGTCGAAAACGTGTTTTGGATCATTTTATAGTAAGTTGAGCTTGTGTAACGAAGTTCTAAAGAAGTGATGGATTGAAATATTTATTAATTTAGATCATAGACAACAGTTTACTGCTCTGTATTTTGGGACATTTTCGGTACTGTATCTTGTCTCTGATAATATTCTGTTGTAATGTAAAAATTATTCATTTGAATTGTTTTTAGAGATGAATATAATGGTGGTATTTAGATTTCAAATGTATAGTTTTTGATGAGTTTGGACGATGTGTTTTTAAAGTAGATAGATGGTTGTGACTGATCTATATTAATATTGAATAATTGCAGAGTTCAGTTAACTGTACAGGAAGGGTTTGATCTGTATTATAAAGATAAAAATATAGCAGTGGTAATTTTACTGAGGTTATACTATCTCATAATCTCTTCTGCTCAAACTTTTACCAAAAAAAGTTTTGACTGTATTTCTACTCTTACGATTTCATGTAGTAGGTGATATGATATTTGGAGTTAATTATGACTTTATCAGAACTTTTACTAATAAGTACTAATAAGTTCTGATAAAGTCATAATTAACTCCAAATATCGTATCACCTACAACTATTTACTTTGGTAGCATTTACACTCCATACTCATTGCTAATTTTACGAACGTAAATCAACCTACATTCTATACTACAATGAACTAAGAGAAAAAAAGATGAAAATAGAATATGAAAAAATGCCTTCTATTTTCATAACTTACCAAAGTAAATAAATAGCTTCTCATGTTTTTTGAAAAATTTTTATTGAATAGCACTGAAATATTCTCTCTCGTAATATATTTGAGTGATGAATTGATAGGATAACATTTACTAATTGAATACAAATAATTCCATTGTTAGCTTAAAATATTATTTGTAATTAATACAGTATTGTTTGGAAAGTTAGGATGAGAATCTGTTATTATATATTTGTACTGGTTAAGATTACAATTGATAAGGTATTTTTCAAATTTCTATTCTACAAAATTAATGACTGCAACTGCAAATATGTATGGAAAAAGTACGTGAAGAAAAATGAGTGATTGGTATTCACTTTTGAACTTTAACGAGTGTTACAGTCTATTTTTTCTTTTCAAATTTTATAATGAGTCGAAAAAAAACTTTCATTAAAAACAATAAAGAAAATTTGTAGAAGTACTTGTGGTATTCATGCATGATTTGATTATGGAAATTGTCTATTTTGTACAAAATGTTTGCTCTTTAAAACTTTATATAGCCAGGTTATTTTATATTGTTATCAGTTCAGAAATGCTGTCATAATTTTTGATAAATTCTTGCTACTTTCATGAATATTCATGTCATTATTATTGTATATGTATTATTAGCACATGTGCTAAAAGTGAATTATAAAGAAATACTGCAAAAATTGTCAAAAAACTACAAGAGAATTAAAATGTGCTATTTTGTTTAAATTTATCTTCGAATGTAGTTATGCTCGTATCAAGCAAGTATTGCTAAGCAAAAAATTAGCGTCAGGAATTGAATTAAATTTTATAGATAGTAATGAGTTTTGCTATAATTTTCTACTCTCTCTTATCATTTTAATTTCGTATTAGAATAAAACAAGACAAAAAATTTAATTTTGCAATTTTTAGCATTTTATCAAAGAAATGTTTTTGAAAAAAAGCTCAGAAATAGAGTAGAGAAGTGAAGGAATTGCTTGCTGTAAACGAAAACAAAACAAAAAGATTGACTGAGTGGTTGTAATATACTAAAGTTGACAGCGTGTACTTCCTTAATTTTTGCAAAAATTGTGGTTGAGAACAGTACAAGGCCAATTTATTTATTATATTAACAAATTAAAAATTGAAAAGAGAATGATTTTGTACCGCAGTGCTGGTTTGCACTCTCGTACTTTCTTATTTTAATATATTAAATACATTTTTAATTTCATTGCATATATATATATATATATGGAAATGTGATTTATATTTGTCATGATTATTTTTGATTCATTAATAAAATAGTATTTGTTTATTTAATAATTTTTTGTATTTAGCATCACGTTCATTTATTGAAATATTTTGTAATCTTAGTACATTACTTTATCTGTGCGTGTTTTCACATATTATATTTTAATATAATTTTATTTATTTTTAAACTTGCATCACTTCTATTGAGTACATTTACTTATTGTCTTACTTACTCATATAAATGCATGTTTTTTGCTTCCTACACTCATCAGTGTTTTCATTTTTGAGCTGGAAATTACAGTCTCTTTTTTTTTTTGTTTTTTTCAGTCATTCACCTTTTACTTTTGGCATACATTCACATCAGTGATTTTGTGAATTTTTTTTCCTATTAAAATTTATATATTATATTTGCTTTGGTGATATATTTGCTGTAGCTGGAAAATTAAACATATGATTGAAAATTGTCTGCAATAGTTACAATTACAGTGCCATAAATACATGTTTTGAAAATGTATTTCATTCTCGAATTAGCCATGAGTAATGATGCATTTTTGATTAGTTTACTTATCACAAATAAACAAAATTTTAGAATTACAACTCAAAATGTCAAATTTACGACTTGATCTATTTAAATTAGAATTTTAAAAACTAAAAAGAAAATAATGCTCTTATTTTATACCACAAAACAGTAATATTTGAATGCAAAAGCAATTTAATGTATTTGTTTTAATCGTCTGCAAAATCAAACAGAGCATTTATTTGTTTTGCACAGCTTAATCAGTGTTTATGTTTTTCAACATGATCACAATTATAACTCAGCATAAATTAAATTGCTGCTTATGTAAGCTAAAATATTTCGAATTATAACCAAAGAGTATGTGCTTTTAATAATATCGTCTTTGTTATAAAGGGGAAAACCAAAAAAAAAAAGTTGTATTCAGTATTAATTTTTAAATTATTGCAAAACTAAATTGCTGCCTGAATCAGTCAAAAAAGCAGTTAGATAGTAAAAAAGTAATTTAAATTTCCTAAACAAATTTAAAGGAAATATTTTTTGATAATTTCTTTGCACAAGTTTTGTTTCATTACGATGGTTTTATTGAATTTTTTTACCTCCTCAACTCATAAAATGCAAAGTTTACATTCTACAGATTTTTCATTACAACATATATAGAAAACAAGTATTGTAACTTTTAAGAAACTGCCCATAATCTATTAAATTATATTGTTGGCAACAAATTTAGATTACAAATTGGTGTGCAATATTTAAGTGAAAAAAAATCGCATAGAAATTATATCTGCAACTTTTGTGAGGCAAAATGTTGAAATGTAATCATTCAACAACATCTTCTATTACTTTTTGCAAAATTTGATTGAATGTGCTTGTTTCGTTTGGTTATTATTGTAAACTACTTGTACAAAAATATTTCAAAAAGCATTACTTTGCTATATTTTGAATTTATTTATATTTAACAACATGAAAAAATAACTTTTTTTAAAATTTCTTTTACGATTTTATTCTTCTATTTTGGTAATGTGTAGTGTGCGTATTCAAAAAATTCAAAAAGTAATTTAGTTTATTTTTTTTTATATTTATTTTTTTTGCTTTTAGAGAAAATAAGAACAAATATTGAAGCATATTGCGATGATAGGATTAAATTTTTTGCATTCGTATAAATAAGTAACAATTTTTGTTTAAAATATAGAAAAATTATTAGTGTAGCAAAATATTTATCCCTTTTGCATTTATAACTGCTATTACAAATCGTAAATTGTTTACAAGCAAAATCTTTTATTACTTTGTATGAATCAAAAATTTCAATTGAAATAAACGTAAAGTGCAATGAAGAATTCTTGTTAACATAAGTTGTACTATCATTTATCAGTGCTACAAAGCAGATCATATTTTTATTAGCTATTAAAGCAATTTTAATGCATAATTAAATCACAAATTGCGAAAAAAAAGGAAAGAAATAATTTTTCTAAAGTAAAAATACTTGGATTTTTTCTTTCTGACAATTTACCTGATAGTTTAACGTACAGTAGAATAAAATGAAATGAAATGAATTGAATTGAAATGAATTGAATTGAATTGTAATGAATTTAAATGAAATGAAATGAAATGAAATGAAATGGAATGGAATGGAAATGGAATGGAATGGAATGGAATGGAATGGTAATACCAGTTGAAAACAACATCGGGAAAGAAGCCCAATAATATCAATAGATTTCAATTATTTGCCATTACATCTTTTCAGAAAAAAAAAAAGAAGAAAAAGTTTTTTCTTTACATTTAGTTCATACAAAATATACAAGTTTTGGGACTCCCATCTAATATGTAATGATTCACATATATTCATTCAGTTGTTAGTTTGAGTAGTCAGTCAGTTAGTCACTTGTTCAAAATGTTTCCTTGATCTGCCTATTGTAATCATCAATTAATTAATCATGTAAGATTCGGTAATGAACTAATTAAACCATTTTTGTATTTATTGCATTTGTGTATACAATGTCAACATATATATATATAGATAGATAGATATAGATTTATAGATTTTTCCTACTTTATTATATAAATATCAATATACTTATATATTTATATTTTTTAAAGTACTAGAAAGTTATAACAATTTTTGTACTATTTATTTATTATAAAATACATTAATAATGATATTAAAAATCAATGCATTGCATTCATCCTATTTGTGCATTCAACCAAACTTGGACTGACTAATTTCAAACCAGTCTTGTTCATTTTCTGATTTTTCATTCGTTCAGTTCACATCACTTCAGTTTAGTCCATTCAGAAGTACATGAATATTTTATTATTCTATTTACTGATGTATACAAATACTATAGTTTGTTTGGCTTGTTACTTTTAATGATTTCAGATCATTTAAGCTGATTTATATATCAAAAGCGAAATTTGATACGACAAATTGCTCACTAATTTTATCTATTTTTGTCTAATTTATTATATTTAGTATATTGACTAGCTTTTTTTTAAACTTTAATTTATCAAAACTACAAAATTATCGAACTGATTTAAAAATTTCCATATTAAATGTAAACACAAATAAAAATTAGCTTGATCAAGTTATTACGAATAATCCATTTGATGCTTATATCGTTGTTAGCATCATTTACTTAAAATCAAAAGTATTTGTGAATAATTTCAGGACAATTGCTGATAAAACTGCTATTGATTTTGTTGCAAAAAACCATAATACAAAATGCCGGATTACATAAAGCAAGTTACCGTAACGGGTGATGTGTCTACGATTACTGAAAACGTATGTCAAATTTATAAAAACTATAACATTCTGCAATTTTAATTTATTTACAATTTTTAGAGCTTTTGCTCATTTCATGAATTCTTCTTTGATATTTAACACAAAATAATTACTTTATGCTAATTTTCTTCTTAACACTACACTCTCAATTGCATAACATTCCTTTCATTATGCATAGTGCTAATTCAAAGAGTTAAAAGAAAATTAGCCGTAATGTTTTAATTTAAACAACAATGTTGTTTACATGATTTTCCTCTAAATATACTCATCTTTTTATTATTTGTAAGACATAAATCTTTTGAGGTCAAATTAAGCATTGTAGTCTTTTTTCAAATGTAATTAGTTAGCTCACTTATCGTTAATTACTTTTTTGAAAACTTTAGAAGTGAAGTAAGTCCTTAGACTTTATTACTACTATTGTAATACAAGAAGAAGAAGAAGAAGAAAAAAAACCGGTATTTGAGATTAAACACAAACAGAAGTTGACAAATGATTAAAAATTTATAACTTAGCAGTCAATTGTTAGTTTTTGTATTATTCGCAAACTTTACGTTCAAATAGTCAATTGCATAAAAAAATTTTCTGAAATGCAAAAGTAGAAAAAAAAAAGATTTAAATTCTATACTTTTTAGCATCGAACGAAAGGAATAAAAATTGACTTCATTTCATTCCAAAAACTCTTTTTCATTTCTTTTATTTATTTATTTATTTATTTATTTATTTATTTATTTATTTATTCATTCATTCATTCATTTACTTATTTATTTTTTAGTTTACTTTGTATTCTGTGCAAACAATGAATGATATTACGAATTGCGAATGCTTCATTAAGCGTTTAGTGCCAGCGTTCATTGCATTTTTGTTTGGAATAAAGACTAATACTTGAAGTGCAAAAGAAGCATTTATTAAGAAGAGTTTGCTATGAAAAATAAATTTGTTACTAAATCAACAATTTGCTGAGTTTTTATTCTGAAGTAAAAAATAATTTTTTAAAGCTCAATCAAAAAAAAGCTATTATTTGTACATGTTTTTAAACAATTTTTACGGTATTATCAGTAAAAACTGGCTAAAAAAGGAATTTAGTATTGTACAATTTTTCTTCTTGCAATAGTAATTACAATATGTTTTATCCTGAAATTGCAATTACTGTTTAATCAAATACTTGGTTATTTCTTGAAAGTTTTATCAGAATTATCTCAAAGAATTGCGTAAAATTTATCATTTCATTCTAAAAAGAATGAAAATGCGTTAATACTGAAATTTTTCAAATTTTTTTTTGCATAAATAATAGTGGAAAATTTCAAATTTGAAAAAAATGTAAGGAATTCAATTGAAAATATTCCATTTGTTGATCATAAAGGGCTTAGAAAATTTAGAAAGTACTGAAAAAAAAAGATATTAAAATAAATAAATCCTGAAGAAACTCATATTTTTATCTATTCTAAAATGTAATATAATAAAAAATTCTGAACTGCTTCGGCTCAACTCTATTTCATTTTATCAAAAGCTATTTTTTTATCAATAGCCAGATAACCGACGTAATTTTTGAATTTAGCCATAGCCATTGGGGAATCTTTAAGAAGTGCGAAATGACTTCTTTTTTCTTTAAAAATTATGATAATTTGTTGCAGTTTTATGCACGAATTTATGATCAGCTAACGATAGTACTTAAGTACTTAAGTCTTTATATTTATTGTGCTTTGCTGAAATTGGCAATTCTATTTTTGAATACAAAAAAGTGTTATAGTTGTCAAAACAAAACTTTTAACAGCAATCACACTTGCAGTTTTATAGCAAGTAAAAATTTAACTCGAAATCAAAAAATTGTAACAAATAAATAAATTCGTGGTAATAAAGGTAAAAATATCAGGGACAAAAAATTTCAAATTCGAGATAAAAATATCAAATTTTGATTATTATCACAAACTGTTTAGAAATATTAATTATCAAATTTGCGCCCGAATTATTAAAAGTTAACAAAATTAGATTCTAAGTCTTTTCTTTAATCTTTTTGATTTCAGCTATTAAGATATTTTGACCACATTTTTGAAGATAAAACCAGAAATCAAGCAACGCCAAAGTAAGACTATACAGATATTAATAAGTTTAATAAAGTTTGCAATTCATTCAGTAGAATAAATGATAATTTTTTAAAATCACTTCTTTCTGCCATCCCAATCATTTCAGACATTAAAAGTTTATTCATTTTGTACTTAATTCTTAAACAATGAAACTTTTTCCAGTTGAATTAATTTTTTAATTTTTATTTCGTTCTGTTTTTAGACCTCTTTTTGTATATCCCTCTAAACGTCATTTGTTATAATTTGCCAAAAAAATGTAATAATAGCTTTTCTATCAGTCTATACAGATCAAAATGATGTCAAGTAATCGTAAAAAAATTTATTTTTTGTTAATATTCTAATAAATCCAAATGATTTCTTCAGTCATATTCCATCTAATAGAACAGGCATAAAATATATCAAATCTATTGAAATCACTAAAAATATAATCAATATTTGATAGAAATTAAAAAAGTATTTGAATTCAATATTTACAATTTTGAAAATGCGAGTAATGTTTAAAAAATAAAATTAATCATGTTACATGATTGTAAACAAAATCTCGTGATTTTGTTCATAAATTTTTGATACCAATGTATTTGCTAGTGAATACAAAATGGTTACTGCACTTTATTTTTGGTTGGAATGATTTATGCAAATTATTCAATGACTGCAAACAATTACTCTGTTTTTTTGTTAAATTTCTAAACAAATAAATCCTTTCAACCAAAAATAAAATATTTTGTTTTCTATTTTCATACAAATAAGTACAAAATTTAATTACAACATGAAAAAAAGAAATTCATATCAAAAGAAAAAAATACTCATTACAAAAATGAATTAGAAAAAAGTACTCATTACAAAAATGAATTAGAAAAAAATACTCATTACAAAAATGAATTAGAAGAAAATACTCATTACAAAAATGAATTAGAAGTAAATACTCATTACAAAAATGAATTAGAAATAAATAGTCATTACAAAAATGAATTAGAAAAAAATCATGAAGTCATCAATGAAAAGATTTAATTTTTTAGCAAGAAATAGTTACTATAACACTTTTGAATGCATTTTTTGTTGTTTCAAATGAAACGATTTTAAAATTTTACTATATTTTATTCATTATCATAAATGTCTGAAAATAAAAGTGAATAAAAATGAAATTTTGTATTCAGGACGATGCATTACAAGATTGGTGCGCAGAAGTTGCCAAAGAAATTTGGGAGCAGAAGCCAGAATTTGCTATCGTACACATACAAGGATTACGCAGTGCTGAAAATCCTGATATACTTTCAAATAAAATTCTAAAAAGGTTTCGCTCCATTTTAAATTATAGTAAATGAATAATACTAATATTCCGTATATTTTTGAATGTGATCTTCACTTTACATGATTAGTTACCGTTGCATAGCATTATTTAGTAATATGATAGCAGTAAGTAAATATCAAAATATCAAACTACTGTCTCTAAAAATGAAAACAATAAAACTATGCATAATATTTAGAAAATGTAATTAAATAAATGTAGTTAAACTTTTCTAATTATGAACATTTTAAAAATTTGCAAGAGTTTTTTTACTCATTACAAATTTAGCTTATTGTAATTATTTTTTTAATGATTATACCTTTTAATGTGAACGTAATTTTCTTAATGTGCAAAATATGTATTTTTTTTTAGCTTATTATACGATGCTGCTGAAATGCAAAATCAGTTCAAAACAAGTCGTTCATATTTTGATACACGTGAAACAGTAATTTTCAAAAGTTATTGCTGATTACAAGGAGTAAAACAGATTTTTTAATTATTATTTGGTTAAAATGTTTTTTAAAGAAGACAGTAATCAAAATTGGTTACGGTTAACTTAACTGGATTTTATTTTATAATGTTTGATATAAAGTTCTTTTTTAGTAATTTTATAAGATGAAATGATACTACGACTTTCTTCATACTTTTAACTTTATATAACAAGGTTTTAAAATAATTTATTCATTTATTTTTGATCATAAATGATTTAGTTTTATTGATATCCTATTTTTGAGCAAAAAGAGTAGAAAATTTCTTTTTAGTAATAAAAAGTTTAAAATCACTGCATTCTTAACCATTTTGGTTGCTCGATTATTGTATCCATTTGTATTAGTTTACATTTAGGAGATTCAAAATAGCAAATGATACAATAATATGTTTGGTAGTGTGAACTATTCAAAGCATGACCTCTAAAGTAAACTAAAAAAATAAATAATGTTTTGAAAAAAAAATGACAAATAAAATTCACAAAGTTTTTGGCAACTATCTGATTTTAAGTTTCTGAAATTTACGAGAAATAATAATACAACGAGTAAAAATGAAAGTTCTTGAAGTTATTATTCATCGTTTATAAAAAACAAGTAATAATTAATTTAAAGAGCTTATTATTTGTGATATCCTTAATATGCTAAATTTGTAACTTTCTGGCTATGTTCAGCAGTATCAAACATTATGTAGAAATGTAATGATATATTTTCTAAAATATTTAGCAAACTCAAAAACCTTGTAATCATTAATTGTTGAGCAACTAAATGAATTATTTCTTAGGGTCTTGGGTCAGTTTACCTATTTCGGAATCATCAAGAAATTGAAGCTTTTGATCGCTACAGTAACACTGGTTATAAAAGTCTTCGTCCCGGTCATCAGTATGATATTGGTGCTCGAGAATGTGATGGTTTTATTTCTAGCACATTTAGTAGTGCTTCTAGTTCGACTTCTAACTATTCGTTACGCTCTGAAAAAGATTTTCATGTATGGGTATTTTTGAAGGTTTTTGTGCTAATAATCATGCATTATTTTGAATTAATCCAAAAATAGATCAGAATTGCAGAAAATATTTTTGTCTTTGTTAATTTTTCATTTAATTACAAATAATTTTATGTTGGTATATTTCCGCTCCTCTAACATATTCGTACTTGTCTTCGCAGTTACTTTTGGCTCAAACAAAAGTTATTACTTGGTAGTAAATTTCTAAAATCATAATGTAAACTGAATTTATATCAATAAGTTTCAGCGTAATAATAGCGAGAAATTAATGACAGAAAAAGCGGTACAAAGTGGTTACTTAATGTCGCGGTTTCGCATTTATGGTCGTGATTTTACTTTTGTGAATCTTAGCTTGCATACTGTGCCGTTTGAAGATGTGAAAGAACTTGTTGAACAAGTAATTTATTGCTAAACAAAATTTTATATCTTAAAAATAAGTAATTTTGGTTTTTTTGTATTTTCTCATAAAATATTATTCGCAGCTACTTTTGATAATTATTGCATTCGCAAAATTAAATTTTTATACTTGCCTACGTTTACGGATTTTGAGGGGTTTCAAATTTTATAATTAACAAATTATATTATAGCCTGAAACTACCAAAGCTGCGCGACTGCGAAAAAATCAAATCGATATTTTACTTAAAGAGTTTGTTTTTAAACTGCAAAAATTTTTTTTTGTCAGTGTTATTTACTTTGTTTTTAGTTTTTCATGTGAGAGCTAATATTGTACATATGAAAGTTTAAAAAAGATCTGTTTAGACATTGTTTAAATGAAATAAATTTATAAATTGTGGTGCGATTTCTTTGATTTTCAGAATTGAATCAGAAGGATTAAAAGATGATTCTATTCTTGTTGCTGGTGCTTTCAATGCTCAGTTATTTGAAACACAATTACTTAGCGTATGTTTTTTTATGATTGATTCCAAAGTTTAATTCTATAGTTTGAAGTTTTTGATTTATAATTTAAGCTGTAATTGCATTTTTGTTTTACTGATTAAAATTATGCAATAAAAGGATATGGCTGATACTCAAAGAGCAACTAGTTATGCAAAAAAGAGTTCAGATGGTAAACTGGAAGGGATTGAACAACGTGATCGTCATGGCAGAGTAAGTTATCAACTGTGTTTTACGATGAATTAATTTTTTAGAAGTATTTTTAACAGATTCAATTTATTACTACTTTTCAAACCAATCCATTACAATATAAATCAGTAAAGTAGTAAGTAATTTTATAAATTAACTTTAAAGCTTTTAAGAAAATAAAATTAGCATATACTTTTTTGAAAAAGTATTCATGAATAAATGAGTGCAAACAAAAAAAATTTGATGAACTATTTTCATCGGTCTTTATTTGTAACAATTTATACATGTTAAAATTGCAAAATTTGTTTTAGTTTTTTTTTTTGGAATACTAAAATTTAGATGTTTTTATTTATCAAATTAATTGATGAGAAACTAGCACTGAAAATCTGTACAATATTCGATTTTTTTCATCTGACCAACTGATTAAATTATGCCACCATACATGAGTTATAATGTGAGTAAATATATCTTTCTCTTTCTTCTATGATCAAATAAAGTTTGTTCTTACAAATAAAGTTTATACAATTTTGTCAAATCTTTAATAAACTGTAATATTTTGTTAAAGAGTATTGTAACGGTGGAAAGTCATCGTTTTGATCTTCATTCTATTCATGATTGGTTCTTCCGTCTTGGTAGAGGTCAAATGGTCAAGAAATACAACGGAGAACTTGCATTGGTTGTTTTTGGGGGCAAATTACTAGAAGAATCCGTATTTTTCCAGGTGAATTTATATAGTCAACTTCTACCATGTCAAGAGTGATTCGCGAATAAGTATACGTGAATTTACTAATGAGTGTTTTTATATTTCTGTAAAATTTTATATTAAGAACATTGATCTAATTTTTATTCTTGATATAATTAATCAATTTGTAATTATTTTGAGATCAATTAACTAGTCAAGAGTCAAAGAGTTTAGAATGTAAATGAATGAAACACAAATTACTCATTTACTTGAAAATACGTAAAAATTATAAAATTGATAAATTTGTAGCCGTCACGTCATTATGGCATCAACAAAGCAACCGGCAAAGAAGAATTCAACAAAAACTTATGCCCAGCCTGGGCTGATCGTGTATTGTACAATGAAAAATTGAGCGATTTATTCAGACATGTAAGTTAGACACAAGTTTTTGTTATTAGATTAATTCATATGCAGCAAGTTAGTCATTCATTATTTGATACAAAAAACAAACTTTATTTTTTATAAAAAAATGCAATCTGAAAAAATGATACTTGGCAGTAATAACAATTCTTAAAACTTCATAATATATCATCAAACTCGTTCATTACTGAAAGCATTACTAACATTGACATACTAAACCGTATCAATGATTCCGGTACTAATGCATACCAACTAAGTATTTAATTTAAAAAAATATAAAAATAACCTTACTGACATAATTTCTTGTTATGAATTTATTTAAAAACCACGAGTGATACTTATAATCTTTTAATTGAAGGATTCATTCTGTGCATCTGGTCTATATTATGGACTCGTAGCTGAGAAAAAATTCGTTGGGCAACATAAACCAGTTGCTTTACATGCTACAATATGTCTCAAGTAATCATCATATCAACATCCATTTAAAGATGATTACTTCAACCAGTCCAAATATTTTTTCGTACAATTATTACTCATTTTTACTTTCACGGAAGAAAAAAAAAACCACAATCGAATACTGAGCAATCGATTAACAATCAAACAACTGATCAGTCAACGACTAAATGATGCAGTCTGGCCCACGTGAACGAACGAAGAACTTATTCAATAAACATTACACACTTATTAATATTCTTAAATATATTGCTTATCTAGAAAAGGCTTGCGATCCATTTCTTCTATATGAAAAGCAATAATTATGCTACTACATTTATATTATTAAAAAATAATTATAGTCTATAACATACTTTACTTCTCCATACTGTGTTAACAGCCTTTCTAATATATAGTTTATCAGTAACATATTGATACTATTAGTTTTATGCGCACTGCCATTTTTGTTTTATATACATGGCTTGCATCACTAGTAAAATTACTTACTACTTTGCATCATTTGTTTATATACATTTTCACTCTTACATTTTTGTACACGTATGTTCTCGAATATTACTGGCGTAAAGATATAGCAATGTAAATCTGACAAGACGAAACGAATTTTATTGAAAAAATGAAGTGTCAGACTCTAATCAAATACAATGTACAACACATTATGCTTGTTTAGCATATTACACTTGCCCACCTAGTACTACAACATTGTAAGATTTAAATTCTATAATCACTTAAAAAACTTTTTATAATCACTTAAAAAGATATAAAAATATACCAAAAAAGATAAGCTTGGCACTTCATGATAACCAAAAAATGTCTGTTGAGTAATAATGAGATGCGAATTTTAAAACGAAATTTAGTATTTCCGAATTCCAGTAATTAGAATTAAAACTTGAACATTACTGGATTTGAAATAAATTAACTATCTGGCGAATTACGATGCCTAACTCCTATTGCTGCTTCTACCTTAGCTATACCTGAATCACTGATGTTATCAGAATAAGATTCTGATGAATCCTCGCTTCTACCTGTATGTAAATGTACGTAACGAGGACGTGATCTGCTAATTAATTCTTTCCATAACAATGGTATCAAACACAGAATTGCCCAGAACATCTACAATTCATAAAATTAAAAAAATGCTTTAATTCCAATTCAATTTGCAATATGAACGGAGTTAAAACAGTTTTTAACATAAAATTCGTAAATAAAAATTTCCGTTCATCCTTCCATAAAATGTCATATTACTAACCATAACAATGAAGCCATAGAAAACAGCTATCCAACCAAATGATGCTTCAATTTTCGGAATGAGAAGCTGACCGATTCCTGCTCCAATACTACCAGTCCCATCAATAATACCCGTAACTGTGCTTAACGCTCTTGCTGATCCTCTGATTTCTCCCGCTTCACCTAAAACCTTTTTCTTTTATTAGATATGCATTATTTTTCAGACTAAATGGTTCTCTTGCATTATTTGTTAATGCAGCTCAACAGAAAAGATAACCGAGGTCGGTAGCTACCGCAGACGAAATAAGATTAGATGGTCCTCCAACAAAAAACCCTGTCAATGCCATCAGAAATGAATTAACCAAAACATCGTTCGGTGAATCTAGAAAGTAGTCTACTTCATAAAAAAAATTGCATGATTGCTCTACAGACTGAAACTTAACTTCATCATTATCTTTACTGTGCTTTTCCAGTAAAGTTACCACAATATTTGAATGCGCAACACCCATAAAGATATAAAAGTACTAAAAATATTATAAAAACAAATACTTTCCAAACTGGCATTGTTACTACAGTTTCTGATTACAGTAATAAAATCGTCTAGAATAAGCAAAACTTACTAGCATAAATAAATAAAGAACCCATTGACAAGAATAACATAAATATTAAAATTGGTGTACGTGATGAAAAATGATCCTGAAACAACACGCACATAATAACAAGCAAAATTTTGTTTGTAAAATTCGTAGATATTGCTGCTGAATACTTTTTGATAAAAGTTCATAAACTTACAGAAGCAATTCCTATAAGAACTGCAGCAATAATACCACCCAAATCGAACCAGGTCGAGAAAGCATCAGCAACAGATTCTTCCCACTCATAATGCGCATGAAGATAGAAAGGCAACCAAAAGAATAAGGAATAATTGACTAATTTAAGACATGCATAAGCTAGTGAATACTGAAATATATCATTTGTTCAACCAACAACCAAAATGATCTTAAAAATATGTGAAAGTAACAAAATAAAAATGTTAAGTTTCCTGCAGTTTTTCAAGTAATGGGAAAAAAGTAAAGTATGATCTAATTCTGTAGGAAAACGTACGGCAAGAACACCAGGAAGACACCAAGCACGGAAAATACTGATTGCCTTTGGTGTTTCTGCATCATTAGTATCAGATATTACAGCATCTCGCCCTGAACTGAGCAAATTAAAACTTACATTAAGTTTGAAAAAATGATCTTGAACTAATTTTCAATTCAGTATACGACTAACAAACCAAAAAACCAACCAAGTTTCACAGCAGAATTTTCATGTGGTTGATGCTTTATAATACATTACAATAGCTACATAATCACTAATAGATTAGTGAGTGGCAGTAAATGGATATTAGTTTTAATAATATTTATTCACTTACGCTATTCACTAATTTACAGTTTTCTCTCGTAATTAAAAAAATGATAATTAATGAGCGTAAGATAAAAGTGTTAGAAGAGCAAGTACATTATAGAAAACAATGCTATAAAATACCATGTTCAATAGGGTGCGGTGAGAGACAAAAGAAAATGAAAAATGCTCCGAAGAAAAGCGAACATGCATTTGCTACAAACGAATACTGAAATTTGGAAACAGTGAAAATAAATTTCAATAAAAATTTATCAATCGACTGTCAAAAATAGCCTACAGTCGTATATGAACAAAAATTATATCTTAAACAATGTGATATAATATTTACGTGAAAAACATGAGTCGAACGACAAAATGTTAAATACACAATTAAAAAAGCTTTTGCAAAAAAATGTAGACATCTAGATTTATAAAAATTAATTAGCTTACTTCGTATCCTAGCTGTATTGTATGTGATGAGACCAATGTACCTATTATATTTCCAATTGAAGCACATGATGACCAAAGACCTAACACAGCACCACGACTATTATGCCCAAACCAGCTACCCATAATTGATATCTGTAATTAAATTATTTCTATTTTATAAAAAATTGAAGTGAGGATTTTGTTCACTTTCATTCAATTTTTAGAAAGAACATAGATCTATATTGATAACTTGAAATTATGGTTCCACACCAGCTTGTTTAAAAACCTTTCAGTACTGACAAAATAAGTAAGTAGTAGAAAACTAATTTATTTATATCATTTAAAATTGATATTACACCACAAATACTCAGCTCATGAATAAAACAATTTCTAGCACAAAATTTCAGAATAAAATGTACTTCTGTCGGCCAGGCAACAGACTGAAATAAGCCACATGCTATCCACGTTAATGCATAAAACGCTGGTGAATGGAATGGCAACCATTTCAATATTCCAAACAAAAATACCTAGAAAGAATCTACAGTAACGGTTACCTTACATTATGAAAGTGTGTTATTGTACATAACAATTTATAATCATGCATTCCCTTGTTTATGAGGTAATTTTCTCTGATAATCGTAGACAAACAGCAAAAACAGCATAAATTATTATAACTCAATGAACTTACAGTAACTGCAGATGCCCACATACCGCAAGCAAGCACCTTTGTCGGATCATAATGATCACCTAACGTTCCACCTAAGTAAAGACCCTAGAAACTATTACTTCTCACTGCGCAGTGATCGAATTTTGAAACAAATTTTTCAACATTAATTGCTGTTAATGATTTGTGAAAAAATATCATAGCTGAATATCTTCTTAACTAGATTCTGTAACGTAAATTACCATTCCTCATATAAAATTCAAATTGAAAAATAAAAATCATAAAGAGTGAGGAAAAGAAACACGAACCACAGCATATGCTACCAGAAATGAGCCATCAAGTAATGCAAGAAACTGTTCCGCTGAATGCTCATCAGGAAATACTGGCTGCTCACCGGTGCTGTTATCAGTCCACTCAGTGATAAGTGATGGTTTTACTGTGCTCAGTGTCTTACGCGACGCATGCACCAATGCATAACTGAAAAAATAATTTGTTATCATTGTGAATAAACAAATATTTACTCAATTATTCAATTGTTTAAACAAATAATTCATAGTTACTCTTAGCTCGCAAATTTTAAAATGCAAAACCATTACAGCAATTGACTTTCAAATGTTAAACGGTGCAGTGAAAAATTTCCTTTGCATGAAAATTTGCTTAAAATTTTGATATTAAAAAGCTGCTAATCCTTTCCAAAATTGAATTCAACTATTTTTATTTTTTATTTTTTAAATAATTCAAAACAAACAACAAACATAAAATAAAGGTGTATAGTAAAATTTACTAAATAGCTGCACAAAAGACACAAGAAAAAGGATTATAATGCATTTTTTACAAAATGAGCTGAGTTTTTTCTTTTTTTCTTTTGGGGGGAGATAAAAGCATATTAATTTATGAGAATAAAATACTCAACGCTTGATAGTAAGACACACACCTGATAAATGTAAAGATGAAAACAATCAAATGTTGACAAGTCCAATTTTCATCACCAACCAAGAAAAGTTTTACACGCCTGTAAATTCCAATAGGGCGACGATGTATATCCATATATATTTATATATCTATATAGATATAAATATCGATAGATATCTACATATATCTTAGATAATCTCCTTGTTTCGTATTATTTTCACGTAGCTTGAAAATTCATTCAAATATATATTTAATAAAGATATACTGTTACGATTATAGATGAGTTGCGTTGTGCTACGATCTGTCACGAAATCACAATGTATAGACAAATGCAGTGATGATATGTACTATATTGAGCTGAACATTGATTGTTGTTCTTAGCATTGTTATTAATTGAAGTAGTGAAATTGCGGAAAGAAACCCCGATAATTATTGATTGAAGTGAAAAAATAAAAGCTATGACGGAATGAATGGAAAGTTATTGTGAATAATAATTAAATAAAAAGAAAAATTTTTTTTGTAAGAAAAAAGTTGTTGGCCATTATTGATATGAGTGACATTTTTGATATCTGTCATAACTGATTCTGTAAATATGGAATTTTTTATTTTGCATTATTTGGAAGTTTGCATGACTAGCAGTAAAAATACTATATGTTAATTTGTCTTGCATTCTTTTCACATTACGTGTAGCAGTTTAACGTGGAATTCTACTCTGAAGGCATCTGTTGAATTAAGTTCAGAATATCTTTACTATGTCCTGATGCATGAAGCTTTAAATGTAAGCCACAAAAATTTGCATTAAGTTGTTCTCTGCTGAATTATCAATTTTAATAAATATCTTATTTTTACCTGAAAGTTAAAGTAACTACTGAAATTACTTGTATGAAATTTGAAAATTGTAACGAAGTTAAATGTAGTTTAACTTTTATTTTCACTTTTGTGTTGCATTTGCCAAGTAGAACAGTAATTGACGAAAATTAAATGTTTCTTTTCAAATACAACCATCGTCTTTATTACTTTTGTATTGCTCTTCAGGTTTTATCACGTAGTTTACGTAAATTTAATGGTAAAATTATCATTTGTAATTGTTATAGAATCTTATTATATTGCTTATACTATTATTGCAGATTTACAAGTAGTGATTGAAAATAATAATAATAAATGCAATTTTTACATCTCATTCAATATATAATAATTTCAGTTTTCAAGCAGTACGAAATTTAAATTGATAACGGACTTCAAATTGATAACAATATTTTCTTTTCGTATCTTTGGAAATTTTTCATTTCTTATCAAAATATTTCAACAAACTATAGATAAGCATCAGCTGATAATGCTTGAGTTAGCGTATACAAAATTTATTTGCAAACATTCGAAAAAAACTAATGCATAAAAATTATAAGCGTTGCAATTAAAATAAAGGAAATGAAATTTTCAAATTCAATTTTATATAAATTAATAAATTGAGAAACTAGCAGTTTTGACGAATTTTTGAATAAAAATTATACAGACAGTTTTTTTCAATTGCAACTCATTTAAATCAGATTTCAATGAAAGAATGATAATTTTATAATATCTCTTCCAAATTATGATTTTCATATTGTGAATTATTAACATATGAAACAATATCATCACATCTGCCAGAAAGTGGATGATACTTACGTTTCTTTGTTACATGTCCACTTACCTGTTTCCAACACAGCATGATAACAAATATTAGAAATATGATCATCGGTGCACCACACAAAATTATAATTAGCAACTGAAATTAAATATTGAATAAAAAATATGAACTGTAATCGTTTGGTTAGTTCATTTAAGCATTTTTCACAGCAAATGTACTCATAAAGCTCAACTTTTTAGTGTAAGAAGAAATGAACTAAATGTGTTGTACAGAAATAAGCAATGAATATGCAGTTTTTCTAATTTCTACTACAACTGAGCAAGCTATTATTTTAGCTTGAGTACAGAAGAAAACTATCAAACACTAGTACAACAAAAATTACAAGCTTACAAAACTATTTGCACTGGCAACTTTTTATCAATCATTGCAAATAGTTTTGTAAGCCTTTTTTTTTCGGAAATAATACATAAAAATGTCAAGTTATTAATTTTAATTTTATTTGCTTGCTTACTTCTGATTAAAAAATTTTGTTAAATGAAAAGAAAAGCAAGCTATTAATTAATATTTCAGTAATAATCACACATCGTGAATGAAACAGTTGAATAAAATCAACAAAATTGTAATCGTTTTGAATTTCAAAAAATATAAAAAATTTAAGCAAAAAAGAAAATTGCCTATTACTGATTAGAATTTCAGTTTATTTACGTAAATGAAACTCAGCAACTTCAGTTTCAGTGACAAGTAGAGAATTATTCATCGCCATATTTGGTCTTAATACTTCAAGCATATTTTCTAAGCTACCATTGTTTGGTGCTGCGATTAGTCCCAAAATATGGCACATTAATGGATATAAGTCGATATTGTTTGCCGTTGCATCAATCTTAAACTTTTTTTAACTTTAGACTTTTTAGTATATTTTGTGGAAGTTATTAATTTTCAATCGTTTTTTAAGTAAATGTTATAATATTATGAGTGAAAAATCATATGCTACTAGAAATCTTGATGAATTTGAATAAAACTATTCAAGTTTAATAACATGATATAATTACCACGTGGTTTTGCTTTAATGTTGGACCTTTCATTACCAATACCGACTTCATAGTCCAATGGTTTGGATCCAACCCATGACTTGAAGCATGGAGAGGCTGTTTATCATTTTGACCCTAATTTAAATTTAATCATTCAACTTGTCGTTATTTACTGTTTTGGTATTAATAATTGTTTGGTAGATGAATAAAATAATGACTGCTTACACTATGAGAACAGTGAAGGCGAATATTGTATCCTGATCGTGGTACAGCTATTATATCACCAATTTTATCATTGTTTGAATAGGCAAAAATTTTTGGTATATCCTAAAAACATATTATTAATAACTACTTTATTTAGTGAAAAGTTTCAGTTTTAAAAAATATATTACCGATAATTATTTCATTGTGAACTAAACACATGCATTGATAATTTATTAGAATATTAGTTTTTGCAAAATTTATATGATAAGCTAATCAAAAACAAAGATTTCCAAATGCATTTTAATAAAAATAACTGCATTTTATTTGTCTTACTTTTCGTTTCTTAATTATATGAATTTAGTTAAACTCTATGCTATAAAATTTTGAAATCAAAAGAAAAAATTATATAAAATAAGAATTTACTTCTTTTTTGTACACATCAATATCGTAACGACCTTTTTGAATGGCATTCTTAAGAACGGTATATATAGTTTCTTTCTGATCAGCATTTTTAGTATAAATCATTTGATCTCCGAATATAACATCTTCATCTCCGATCACTTCAGATATGCATAAAACATTTGAACTTTTTTCAATCTACAATTTTCATCCTTTAACAGACAATAAAATTTTTGAATGACTATCCAAAGTGATAAGTGAAAATATGGCATAATTATGATGAGAAATGCTTGAAACTAATATAAATTTCTTTTGTTGAAAAAAGAGTTTTTCTGAACTGACAATTTTTCACTAGCTTTTGATAAGAATTGACATTTAATATGGCTGTTTTACTTAATATTTATCATAAAAACAAAAGTATAGTTTGATCAATAATATGCTTTCAGATTACTTAAAGTTTTAAATTAAATTAAATTAAATTTTAATTTTAAAACATCTCAAGATTTTAATCTTAAATTTTTATTTTCAATTTTTAGAGACTTAAAACATCTTAAATTCAGTTAATGAATTATACAGCAATGAAGTCATTTCATATTTCATTGAAGTTCTTTTTAACTTTTCATGAATTTTTAATGGTAACATACATTTTGATGATATTTGTCAACTGCAGTTGGTAAGGAAAATTAGAGCTTATTTTTATAGATATCTTTTAGAACTTTTAATGGAAAAAAACAAGAACTATTTTAGCAATAAATGCGTTATTTGCTGATGTTGACGTAATTATAAAAACATTATACTTGAGCATGTCCATGGTCAGCAGTTAAAATAATATTCAGTCGTTGAAAAAGTTCTAATTCATTTTCTAATTTTCCTCTAACATATTTGAACAATAAATCCAATTCTCGCATTTTTTGCTCAAGTTTGCCATTTTTAAATCCATTTGAATGGAGGACGTGATCTGGTTCAGAAATATACCTTTAATTACAAAAAAGAATTTCAGTCTTCTTTAACTTATATTTTGCTTTATTAAAAATACCACATAATGGCTTTTTAAATTAGTCATTTTCTAGCATTTTTAATGAGCCAAATTTTGTTCAATTTTGATACTCATAAAAATTATAAATGGTCAAAAAAGTTATTAAATTAAAATTTAATTTTTTACCAAATTGTGAAAATTAATTCGTTTTAAAATGGAATACACAAAATAAAAATTCAACTTACCATGCTACAAAATTGTACGGATCTTGTTTACGTGTAAACAAATCAAAAATTTCATCAAAGTCAACCATCCATTGAGACAAATTTTTGTATGCCATCCATGTTCTACTTCAGCTTTTTTAAAACTTTGATAAAAAATTTGAATATATTCTTGCATGAAAGGCAATTGATTAAATGTTTAGTACATTTTTCAAAAAATTACACATTATTATTGCTATTATTATATTGAAACTGCAGAAAAAATTCGTAAAAACTTGAAAAAGTCTATAATAATATATAAAATTATTGAAACATTTTTTAAATAGTTTTTCAAGAATCTTTCTAAAAATAAAAATTTATTCATGGCAAACAATGAAATTTATTCTTCTAAAGTATCAAACACAAATTACTTTTCAAGTATAGTACGTTAAAGTATGTGTAATTTACCTATGTAATGTAGGCTTATGAGGTTCAGGTGGCCAGTGGCCACCGCCTGTTGGCCAATACATTGTGGCTGATCGTCTATTATTTGCAGCACGTTCATTAGTCAACCAAATTGGTTCACCATTGTAAAAGTGTGCCACCAAGGAGTCATTAACAGCACCATCTTTTCGCGATGAATTGAATATATCAAAGCTTTACAAAGTAAATATAGTTTAATTTCAAATCTTTATTTTACAATATATTTCATTTTCATTTTTCATTATAATGTTGTTAAAAATCTCTGAATATGCAATAATGATTCCACATGCAAAATTTTGTGATAACTTTGGACTCTTTAATATCTGGTAATTAATTTTACTTAGCCAGTGGTGATAACTAAAACCAATTCAGTACTTTTAGCTAGTCAGTTAATTGCAGTCTATTATTTCAAAGTTGGCACATATGCTAATTATTATCCCCACACTGATAATTGCATATTTCCCATGTAGAACTTGTTAATTGCTTGAAATATTTGTAAATACGAATTGCTTGCAATAATTCAGAAGTAATTTAATCTATCAATCATTCAAATTAAAGCTATTATGACAAAAAAGTTCTTTTACTCAATTATTGTAAAGAGTTGAAGTTAAGTGATTCCATCACATTTCCAATCAAATAAAATTAATCACTAGTTGTTTAATGAATAAAGCAGTAGAATTTGTGTTGTTTTGAATGGTAAAGATACAAATTTTTAATGAATAATTCCATATATATTAAATTCAAATACTTACGTCGTATTGGTACTACGATCATGAAAGTAATTACCAACAATGCCATGACTTTCTACTAATAATCCAGTAGCGATTGATGCATGATTTGGTGCTGTGAATGAGAGATACTGTGGACGGCAACCTCCTTTGTAATATGCATCTGTAAAACGGTTCATACAAATTAAATTAAATTAAATTAAATTATTTGTAATCAACTTTTCAAAAATTCTTTTAAAATTGCTTCAATAATATTGGTCAGATATCAATTTGCATTCACAACCATTAAAAAAATACATTCTTTCTTTTACAATTGAAAAATCTTGCAAATTTTAATTTTTTACTGAAAAAATATTCATAAAATAGATTAGATTTTTCTAACATTTACAAGTGCACTACACATTGGCAGTATGATTTAATGCTGAAAATCATTTATACTTTCATGTTTGGCTTGAGAGTTGATTTTAATTCTTCAGCCTTTTCATTAAAAAATTAATTATTTGCTAAATTATTAATGCTTGCATCTTTACATTGTATTCACAAGTAATAGAAGTGATAGCAATAATTATTATATTATAGTTATTATTATGATATTTCAAAACTTGTACTAAATTATTAAAAATTTAAAAACATGGTTAAAATCGAAATAGAAAGCATACTTTCTGAAGCAAATTTCCAAATATTTGGTACAGTTGTAGCATTTAATAGATCATATCGAAAGCCATCTAAGGATATCAGTAAAAGCAACGGATTATCATTCAGTAATTCTACGATTGCAACCCAATTAATCCATAAAATCACTTTTACAAATAATCTATTTGAGTGCATCCTGATTATCAGTGCTTCTGCATTTATTCTTCACTTGCCCACTAATAGCTGTATTAAAATTATTATTTTTATTCATAATGATATTGATTTTATCTAACAAGATCAATGATTAATTTTCCTATTCTATCATGTTGTAATAATTTCAATGTGACCTTTTAGTAATGAAATTCAAGGTTAAATTTGCGTTCAGTAATAGTTAATGATAACTGCCAATATTAATGCACGAAGTTTAGTTGATTACTTCATTTTTGCTGCATAAGAGTAAAAAAATTTATAATTATTAACATACTTAATAATTATAAATTTCCGCTTTCATTAAAATGATTAATTTTTATTTTACAATGAGATAAACCTTTTTTTGAGCGTATTTAAAAATTTTTTTAGCTAGTAAAATTGTCAAAACAAAGTAATTCATGTTGATAAATTGACTATTTATGAAGTGTTTTTACCAATCTTACAATGATTATTATCAAAAATAATTTTAAATTTAGGCTTAAAGGTTATCCCTCATAACTATGCTTTTCATGAAAGAAGAATGTAGTAGAGTTGTAAAAGTTGAGTTGTTCATGTTTTGCATATATGAAATACGAAATTAGCTTATATTATTCTTTTGTAACTTTAGTAACATACGTGTACAAAAATGTAAGAGTGAAAATGCATATACAGATTTTTATTTGATTAAAATAATCTTAAACTTAAGACAAGCATACAGTTTCTATGAACAGTGAATTATCCATTCAGTTTGACCATACTTGTGAATGAGAAATTCAATTTTTCATAATATTTTTATTTTTAATAGCAGTAAAAACATTTTGCACCAATAATAATACATACATTTTTTGCTTATACTTTTTGAAAGTAAAATAAAAATTCATCAAATTTATATGCAAGCAAAATAGTTAGCAGTATTTGCTTTACGAACGTAACATAAAATTAAGGGATGTGTTGGATTTATTTGAGCAAATTTCAGTTATAATTATTATTTGTTTTTATGCAAATGAAATTAATAGTATTACTGCATTATATACTGATTATAATGATAGCAGCGTATAAATAAAATTTTTTAGCTATTAAATGCTTAAATTTTGTAAAATTTGTTTTAATAAATGCTTTTTATAAAATATGAGATAAAGTCAGAGAACGATTTTTGAAATCTGACTAATTAAAAACGAGATAACTTCTATTTCAGTCTTCTATTTTTGTTCACAGTTATGCTTCATTGGCTAAATTTTGAATTATAAAATGTGCTAGATAGATAAAATTTTAAATTATGAATTTGCTAGATATAGATGTGAAAGTGAAATTTAATGAGAGAATTTGATGTTTTGCTTTCTTTCAAATTAAGCCTAAAATTTGTAAAAAATCATTTCAAAACATAAATATTCAGTCTTTCAAAATAAAATGTTTCAGACTTTAACATTTACAGCATAGTTTTACATTCAGCTTTTTCAGCATATATCTAGCATTTTTTAACAGTTAAATGTTTAACTGCTTGAACATTTTTTCCCACATGTGAGAATGTGATAGAAAAATACATAACAAACTTAGGAGCTTATTTTTTTATTATACAATTTTGAATTTGTATTTGAGACGAGAAGAAGATTAAGATGCTGTAAGATCAAGGAGAGTAGCTTTTTGTTAGAAGATATTCTTTTAAACGGAATAGCAAATATAATAATTAACTTTTGTCATAAAAAAAGTTTTATTTATAATTCACTTATTATTTATTATGCAAATTATTGGAACAAATCAAAATAATTATTGCTAAGAATTTTTTTCAAGCTATAAAAGAAATTTCTACCTTAAAAACTAACGTTTCTGCTAAATAACTGACAATATTACACTTTTCAAAGATTTGCTTTTTTCATTTACTGAACAAAAATTAGTGCAAATTAGAAAAAATTTTCTTTTATTTTTCAAATTTTTAAAACAGTAAATGTTTTATCAACAAAAGATAGAAAATTCATTTCAGTAATACCAATTTAACAAAATACAAATTTTAGAATTATAAAACGATTTTCAATAGTTTAAATCAATCTTATCATATGAAAAAATTGATTACATTACTGATAACATTTTTTAACAACAATAAATTATTAGTTTTTAATTAACGATAAAGAAATAAATCATTATAAGCTAATAGCAGTAGTGTAAAATTGGAAAAGCGAACTCATCTGATTAAATAAGGCATTTTTGTATGATTCTTTCTTTTAACGCCAATACGTTCACTACTGAAGTCATTGAGAGTAAAACAATAATGATCTGATGATCATTATTGATCTGATGATCATCAGTATGTACACGCAACAAAAATTATAAGTCAACTCAAAAATAAAAATGATCGACTGTTGAAAGTGCTATACAACACAGAATTTTATCAAATAACACTTAACACTTGTTGGTAAATAACCTGTTTTCAATAGAAAAATTGGAACGAATAAAGAAAATAAAATATATATGTATGCTTCCATATTACTATATATATAGTAATATGGAAGTAATATTTCACTACATATATATAAATTAGTAGTAAATATGAAGCAATAAATTAATTTATACTTATTATATATACGACTAACTAATTTAGAAGTATTATTAGTTTATATCTATATAATTTAAAAGTAAAATTTATAATTGCAAAATTTTTGATCTTAAATTTGTTTATGATTGAAAAAGATGCATATATATATATATATGTGTGTGTGCAAGGAGTAGCTTGAAAGTTTGCTGTGTGATTCATTTCAATGGGATCAGTGTAACTTGCAAAAATTGCGAGTCAATCATTTGCTTAGAGAAATCGGTGGAAAACAGCGATGAAGCAAACTTTTTCATATTTCTTTGCTATTTTCGTCATTTTGAACTTATCAGTAAGATTTTTTTTGGAAATTGATAAATTGATTGTAGCAAAATTTTTTTTAATAAATTAATAAATTCCATAATTTAACAAATGAATAAAATTATAGTGAATGTAATGCTGAAATATGCTGAAATTGTCATCAAATCATCAACATTATCATTATATATTTGAGATTTCAGATTATTGATATTAAATATGAACTGCTTGATATTATATGAGGAAAACAATTTCTGTAGGCAAATTTCTAAATAAAAATTTATTTAAGGTTCATAATATTTATTCACATGGGAGATATTTGCATGAGCATAATGCCGATGAAAAACTTCAAGAAATTAATCATAAGGATCACGTACAAGGAACACTTTTAAAATTACGTACAGATAATATATATACGGATGAAGATCGTGTTAAAGGAATCAGAAGAGGAGGATATCTTGAAATCCACTCAGGTATGTGCAATTGATTTAATTCATTAATTAGTTAATTAAGGAATGCTGATATTTGAAGATTAAATGCCATTTTCAATACTCGTTATATTTCAGTTTGAGTAGATTTTAGCATGTATAAATATTGAGAATTTTCAAATTTTCAGATGATGACTGAGGAAATATTCTTGCTAAGCCATCCAATATCCAGGACTTTTATATTGAATTTTCTTGTGTTGGCTTTTGATTGTTGTTGTCTGACTTGTGATGATAGTAAAACTTTGCTTACTATTTATAGATTACTATTACTTTATTTTACTCATTATATTTCTGGCTCTGTAAACCAATTTCAAGATTAATTATTGACATTTTGTAGAAGTAAATAAACTGCCTTATTGATTATTCTTTCATTAATTGTAAGGCAAAATTATTTTTCCAAAAACTTTATGGTAAAAATTAGCAAATTATAAAGAATTATTATTATATCTATCCCAAAATGCATAAATATTTATTTCTTCAAGCATTTTCATCATTTTTCAATAAATGATAATTTTAGTTCAGCTAGAATGCATAATAATCATATTTAGATAAAATTAAGATTAATTAAATACGTATCAAATTAATTAGGACTGAATGCAATTTCCATGATAAACTTTTATTTCTTTTTAATGCTGGAAAATCAATATCTTTCAGACATAAATGCAAAAAGATTTTTAAAAAAATTCCTAAACAATTTTTTAAGCATAAAAAATTTGCATATAATTTAGCTAAAATTAACCCAAGCAGAATAATTTTAGCAAATAAAATTTAAAATATTTGAATTGCTTTCAAGATCGATTAATTTGAGTGCATAAAAAATTTAGTGTGCATGCAATTATGCAAAAGGAAGGAAAGGATAGATAGATAGATAGATAAATGAACAAATAGATAGATAGATAGATAGATAGATAGATAGATAGATAAATGAACAAACGTTTATTTAGTAAGTAAGTAAGTTCCATGCATGTTGTATTCAAGTAATCTTACCTATGCTTGCACAATAATTTTTGCAGTTTAAGCATTCGCTTTGTTTTACATCCCTGCCACGTGATGACGCTAGACGATACTTTTTCCGCTTCATTTTTCAATTCTATACTTTAGTATGTATTTTTTTGAATTATAATTTGATAAATGCTTCAAAAGAATACAATAATAGCAAATTTTTTGCTGCAATAAAACGTCAAATTGTTTAAAAAACTGTCATATTTATATTATTATAAATATGCATTTGTTTATTACTAAGTTATTTCTGTCTTGTAAAATGCAATTTATTTATTTTTTGGTACTTATTTATTCAAGTTCTTTTTTTGCTTCACTTTATTAATTACACTCAAAAACTGACCATTAATAATTTGTTATTTGTTTGAGAATGTTTACTAGTGAATAAAGTTAATTGTGTACCATACATATTTTGATTGTGCATTCAAATGATTTAGAAGTAGTTTTTTTGCTGCTTATTAATATTTTCGTTTAAAATAATCAAAATTTTGAATGAATTTTGATATTTACAAATTGAAATTTTTTTTAGTACACTAAAAATCTTAAATTTTTAAGATTAATTTTCATTTACTATTGCATTGATCACACTTTCTGATTGAAATTATACATCACAATGGATTAGGGACTAAATTTGGAAAAATTAAGCATGAAAGTAAAACTATAAAGCTAATTTTCAAATTATTTAATCACAATAAAACTAATTAATTTTTAGTTATCAACTAATAGTGACTTTCAACTCATATAATTATCACATACAAAGCTTGCATTGCAATGCGCTTACTGAATGCAAAAATTGAATATATTACAAAAACAATTATGAAAACTTTAATTTCAAATTTTCTATCGTAAAAATATTGCATATATGGCAAAAGTTTATTGCATTTACAAAGAAGCTATTATCACTTTAATTCAAATTTTAGCTAATATTTCTGATATCTTTTTTAACAAATTGATATTCATTCATTTTTTATCATTTTTGCAAGATCAAATCTGAGAAAAATTATGGTTATCATATATAATTTGTCAGATTATACACAATTTTCCGAGACTATCAATATTATCAGATTATCAGTACTTGCAGTTTACAACGAGTGACTGCGTTAGTTCTTAGAATTAATTAAGAGATAAATTATCTTTTTTTTCCCATACATTTTAATGCAATTGTACTGTAGTAAGTATTCAAAGACTTGTCTGAAATGTGATCAGTCTTTATCTATAACTGCAAAAAGCCATAACAATATTTAATATTATTTAGATGAATAAAGAACAAAAAAGAGAGCTTTTCTTCAAGAAATTGCATTTTTTGCTGAGGTATTTTAGAAATGTTTTCATTCTATAACACTAAGAAAGAGTGAAAAGAAGTGGCAAAAAAATAGCAACAAAGTTAAGAATTGTTAAGAGCAAGCATGCACTAGGCTCTGTTAGATGAATAAAGGCTTGGCCAAGTCCAAGACTACTCTCATTTACTGAAAACAAGCCTAAAATCAATTTTGCTTGGTATTCACCCTTCATGCAGGCAATTTTATGCCTGTTTTGCATATTTTTACTTAGCATGTCTATGCTTGTTTCTTCGTTTACTTGTAATACCATTAAGTTTCACTTATTAAAACATTTTTGTTTCATTTTTACATATTTAAAAGCAAAACTTAGAATCCATTCATATTATACAATCAGTAATTTGAAGTCACTTTCTTATAAGGAAGTTTGTTATACTCAATTTATAAGCAGTTTTATTCTGTACAAAAAAGTAACAAATTGTCATTGATAATTAGTTTAATTATCAACTTGATTATTAAGGTACTAGTTTGCGTAAATAATAATTTTAATATGAATAGTATTACTAAATTAGTACATGAATAGTATATTTCACAAGAAATTTTATTATAATCCATTATTATTTTGAAATTTTACGAATAAACTTTGTTATTAAAGCAAATAAACTTTATTACATAAATTTTATCAAACTTTTGAAATTTTAATGTTTGCTTTAAATTAAGTTAACAAAAAGTTGAAAGTAAACTTCATCAAGGATGTGTTGAATGTCGATTATTTCGATTAAACAAATTGGATTTGTACCATGGTGATGAACAGCTTATTTATACATTGAATATCACTCATATTGAATTATGAATTTCGGTATTATACTATTTTTGTCTTTAGAATGATTTAGTATAATGAAAACACAATTTTTTCAGCGTTCTGGCACAATTTAAAAAGAAAAAAAACAAAAATAATAGTATTCATTTATTAAAATATGTTTTTTTTATCAATGATAAACTAAAATTAATAATTCAAAAAAAATTTTTTTAAAGGCTTTCTACTTTTAATTATTTGGAACCCAACAAATATATTTGGTAGAAAATGTGTTCCGGAAGATTTTCGTTATGAATACACAAAATGTGATGAGAATGGTCAACGATGGCGTGTTGCTGTTCCAAAAATTGACGATTTAAAATGTGAAGTTGGAGTACCATTACCGGAACGAGGAATTAACTGCTGTCTGTTTTTATTATTTTATATATATTTAAAATATTTTTAAACAAATTATCAAATGCAATCATAGATTTTAATAAAGTTAATAAAAGTTTTGCTTCTTTAATTTTTGCAAAAAATTTTTCTTCAAAAATTATTTTTCATAATTTTACCAAATAACATGTATATCTATTTTGCTAAAAAAAGGCAGAATGCTCTATAAATTCAGTCTATTTTTTATTATTTATTCGTTTTTAAATGAATAATTAAATTAGTTCAGAAATATAACAAATTTAAATATGATTATTATTACGAAGTAATTGTTTAAAAAAAAAGTATGCGTAATTGATAATTGTTATAGCTTTTACTTGCGATGCTGGAACTTATTTGGATATAAATACTCAGCGTTGTCAACTTTGTCCTAAAGGTTTTATGCATACTTTATTTGTTTAATCATTCATGAATACTTATGCCTAATTATTCAATAAATATTTTTAAAATATATTATCACTGATTGATATGAAAAATATTTCAGTTACAAAAGCGAAAACTTTTTTAAAAAAGAGTCATTTTCAACAAGTTTTTATTTGCGATAAATCACTTTATGTGGTAAATCGATGAATCTTTATATTTACTTTATATGGTTTTAAATTTTAGGCACTTATAGTTTGGGCAGCGGTATTCGATTTGATACTTTTGATCAAATTCCACCAAATTTTGAGATAGAAAATTTTGATATCACACCAGAAAGAAGCATAAATAGTAATCTGCGATTAGTTGCTGGCTGCCCACCACGGCAAGACAACAATTTTTCATTACTTCATTATTACTCAAATATAATTAAAAAAATTTACTTTCACATATATTGTATTCTAGTCGATAATAACTTGGCAAATTTTATTTATATCATGAATAAATTGTGCTATTAGCGGTTTTGTAATTCTAAAATTTAAATTTTTCAGAAAAGGCTGGATTGTACGGAACAACGAACTAATATATGTACCTACACCATGTTTGTCAAAACTTACTTATAATGTAGATTTAGTACGGCCTGGTTATATTGAATACGTATATCGGTTACCACGCAATAGTCGAACGCTTGTTTTCAATGTAGATGTGAGAAACAAGCAGTGTAGAAATTACAAGTACATATGTTTCACAAATTGAAATTCAAATAATTTTGTTTAGCAATTATTTAAATTCTATAAAGATAAAAAAGTATGATGGAAAAAATATAATACAGCAACAAAATTAAAAGCACAGTAATGTGAGTCAATGTCAAAGAATTTTATCAATAAAGAAAGAATATATTTCTGAATTTATATTCTTAGTTATGGAATGAAACAACCGCTTGGAGATAGTTTGAATAAGAAAGTGTCAGATGATGATGGTGACTGGCATCGTGATAGAATTGAATTACAACCAGGACATAATGTTATCAGTTGGGCAGTAATCAGCTATCAATTGGATACTTTTTATAGTGGTGATGTGATAACAATATCACATATTGATATATATGGTAAAATTTTAAAAATTTTCACGTCAAATTAAGCATAATATTTACTTTTTTTTTCAAAATCATTGCAAATGAAATGGTAGGCTTGAAGTATTTGCAAATTTTTTCCTTACTAAATTTTCTCGCCAATATTATTAAGTATGATTCTATAGCCTTTTCTTGGCAGTGGAATAAATGCTTATATGTGACGCATATAAATTCATTTTATTGCTTTTTAAAGTATTTATTTGTAAAGGCTCACAGCAAGTCTTAAAATGTAGTAACTGTCCTGGTGGGACATATAGTGGTATTGGAGCAAAACAATGTAGATCATGTCGTGCTGGTTATTACAGTCTTCCTGGTTCTGCTCAATGTATCAGTTGTCCTAAAACTCAATACTCTCGTAAGTTTTTGAGACTTGAAAATTATACCATCAAAATTGGAATCATAATATAAGATTCTCCATATTTAGTAATACAGAGTGAATTTCAAAAATTTGAAATAAAAAATCAAAGGACAAATTATTCAGTTGTACTTAAATTTGAAGGTGCGAGATCTACATTTTGCACTAACAGGCCTATTTGCTCACAAAATGATTACTATCCAATATTGGAACCATGCGTAAATGGTAAAACACGTACAATATTTGTTAAGGTTCAGCCAAGTGTATGTCGAGATGATCTAAGTGGTGCTGTTAAAGTTAGTAATCACTGATAAAAGTATCAAATAATGACTACATAAATTATTTTAGGTTAAAAAAATGTTTATCAGAAATAATCACTATTTATGTTTAAAAGATCAGCTAATCTTTTATTTAACACTTATAGATCCCAGACAGTAGTGAAGAGATTTTATGCCCAAAGTGTAATCCTGGAATGCATTTAAATCCGGCTGGACAATGTACATTTTGTCCAAAGGACCATTACTCACGTGGTGATGGTTCGTACTTTTGTGTTCACTTGCTGCTTCACATTTAGTTCTACAGACATTATGTTTCTTTGATGAAAAGTTTACATTTTTCAGCGCTCATATTCAGATTAAGCATTTCGTGTAGTAATTCAAACGAATTTCAATACAAGCATGAGTTCATAAATTTAATTATAAGTCTGTAAGGAGTATTATTATTTTCATATAGTTTTAGAAAAAATTATGATAAATTCGTTAGTTATTGTAAGTAATGAAATCATGATTCTACTCAGCATCAAAATAAACATTTTCCTTACTCCTAGTAATTTTCAAGTAGAAATAATACATGCCATGTCAAATTTATCACTCATAAAGTTTCATAAAGATAGTAAAATTAATAAAAATAAAGCAATATTTAATAAATTTTGCACATTTTAATTGTAGAATGTCGTCGATGTCCAGTTGATACTTTACCAAATTATGGATATCAGTATATTGTTTGGAATTCAATTCCACCAAATATGTATACTAAATGTGAATATATAGTTGAAGGTATATTTTTCATTGCATTATTTTCTAATTTTGTGAACATAAAAAAAAAAAATCTTATAAAAGGCAAAAAATTTTATTTTCTAAATTTTGTAAGCAATTTTTTTCAAAGGTGATTCAATGAGATGCGCTATTGATAATTCTTGGATACCATCTGGTAATATGATTCAAAGCTCACCAACACAAGAGAAAGGTGTAGCTTTAGAACTTGGTTTAAGAATTCGTGATGGTTTTTCTAATCCTCTACTTGCATTTGATGAACCAATTTCATCGCACAATCCTGTTTCACATATCACGTTTGATTTTGAAACCAAATGTGCTGATGATAGCTGCACGCTTTATTTTATCGAAGTTTGTTTAATAATAATGGTTTTTAGTAAATATTAGATTATTTGAAAGCTTATTTTTATAATGTTTTCTCAACTAAATTGTTAATAATGAAAAAAATTTATGTCAAAAATAGTTATAGTTATAATTTTTCAGGATATTCCATCACAGTCATATTATCGCCTTCTAGCTGATTTTAGTGGTACTCAACATTACCAGTCATATTTTTATCCAATTATTTCTCCGAATCCAACAAAATTTTTGTTTGTATTCATTAGGTAAAGTTGCAAATTTATGAATTTGAGAAAATAATTCATTCAAAAAAATTTTTTAACACAAATTCGTTAATCTGATAAGTGTTATAGATCACGGAGTTCTACAAAAGAAGACGTCGTAACAGATCGTGCCTTTATTTATCGAATTAATGTAACAAATGTAGGAGAAGAGTCAGGTGGTGCCTCAAGTTGCTTGCAGTGTCCAAAATCCAATGGAAAATGTGTACAGTGTTTAGCTGGTGAATACATCTCAGAAGTAGTAAGTTTCATTAATTTTTCAATTTCTGATTCTGATAAATTTTTTCAAAATAAAATTAATACTGAAAAAAAAACTAAGCAAAGGTCAATATAATTTTTATTGACAATTAATTATCAAAATCTAATAATTTTTCTGAACCTACCTTAATGTACTATCCATTTATTGTTGTATACATAAACTAATAATCTCACTACTGTCAATGTATTTTAGATGTTGTAAAGTATATTGTTTGTGTTCATGAATCTTTGCGTGTTTTTTTCAACTCAAATTTCAATAATTCAGTATTTAAATACTTCTGTTACGTTGAAATCTGGTTCCTTGTTGATTTCAGGATAGCGAGTGTAAGAAATGCCCGCACGGTTTGGTATTAAATACTACAAGTGATCGAATGGGAATTAAAAGTTGTATACCATGTGGCACCAACCTTATTTCACCGGATGGTATACAGTGCACGTCAAATGGTTTATTAGCAATACAAAATTCCGTTACAAATAAAACACATCACTTTAACTTTACATATTTTTTCAATCGGTATGCTTAATTTCAAATTCAAAATTAAAAAAAAATCTTTTCAAGGTTTTTATTACCATTTTCAATACTACCCAAAATGAAGTGCATTTTATTTCTTAAAATACTCTATTTCTACTGAACATGATATTACTGATATATAAAAACTGAGTTCAAAAACAGGTAAGTTAAAACGTTTCATGTACCAATCAAGTATAATTTATTTTGCAGTTCATTTACTGCAGAAGGAGTAAAAATATTTGCACGTGAGGGGACTTCATATTTTCATTTGTATAATATTTCACTTCTAACAGAAAATGGTGCAGAATGCAGTGATACCTACACTTTATCAGAATCCGAAAATGTCCCTTCTTTTGTTACTCAGGTAAACTTGTTGAACATCAGGATATCCATTTTCTTCCTTCAATTATTCAATCATACATGAATATGGAGTTACATATGTATTTATGGCTTTAATTTTGCAACAATATGTAATGTAAGTCAAAAAATATTATAAGATGATTGATCACATTTGTGAAAAGAACGAGATGAGGAGATACTGATTCTACTGATGTTTCAGAATCCAGAAATTCTAAATGCATATATTTGCCGTTCAACAGCGCTTCCTGCATACTCTACTTCTAATGCTACTCAGCATATTTTACATATCTCCCCTGTCATGTATTCTTTTAATTTTTCATTCAAATTAGCTTGAAAAATAAACGCCATACTTTTATAAGTGTAATCTATCGCATCCTATGTAATTTGCAAAAAATATCAACATTTACGAGCAAAAAATTTTTATTTGCAATTTTTACTTTTTATTTATATAATTTTAAATTCATCATAGCATGGTATTGCTATGAACAGACGTGATTTGCAGAATTGGCGACAAAATTTTGGCTATCACAGCTGAAAGACAATTGAATGAATACGTAAAATTGAGCGAATTTGATTCCAGTCAAGTTTATACACGTTTGCATTATGCTTTAAAAAAGCTTCAACTACAAACGTTTTACTTATGCAGTATTCAATATGGTAATAATCGTAGTATATATTTCAGTAGATGATAATAATAAAAGCAATGCATCTGCATCTCCTGATATTCATTTTTTCTTTGGCTCATCTGGAGCAGCAACACAACTTTGCTCTCATGGAGTGCATACCGCTGTAACGTTGAAATGTGATCCACGACAAACTATGGAACCACTAGTAAATAAATTACATCCAACAGACTAGTTATGATTAAATATCTTTTTAAAGTTATATTTCATTTAGATTTCCTAAAATTAGTCCATAACAAACCAGCAACTTCAGTTCAGCTAATATATGAAGCGCAATTATTAATGTTTTAAAGTATTGAGCAGATTTCAATTTGTGCATTCATTTAAAAATTTGCATGCCAGGTGAAACTTCCAAGCAAATGTCCCGATGGTACTTGTGATGGCTGTTTGTATCATATTATCGTACAGTCATCTTATGCTTGTCCAGTTTGTACTGAAGAAGATTACAATATATTCAAAGGTGAATGTATCAATGGAATGCAATCTGTACATAGTATACCTGCAAGGTATGATTAAACTACAGAACAAATGAACATTCAACAAAATTGCTAAAATATCAAATCTTGCTTGATATGTGAATTGATTAAGTTTATTCTTAACTATATTAAATAATTCTCAGCTTTTAATTTTAGCTATTGTATTTCTACACATATACAAAGCAAAGATCATACAGAAGCTTGTACAACGCTTACTCTACGACTTCAACTTCTTATTTTTGGAATATTCGTAACTGTAATAATTTTATGTATTATTATTATCATGGTTTACAGGAAAAATAAAAAGTAGGTAATTTTAAATAAAGTTATTCTAATAAGAAATCTATATAGCTATAAAAATATTTTTGCATATAAAAACAATCAGTGCTAAAAAGTGAGTATAAATTCATTATTATAATTCCTGCTACTGTTAAATAATAAGTTGTTTTTAGTCTGGAATATAAGTATATGAAACTTGTGGAATGGAAAGATAATACAAAAGATTTGCGATCACTTACAGCTGAATCATGTGGAGTAACAGATGGAGATAATGAAGATGATGATGACGAAGTTTGCTTACTATTAAACTTCTTAGTATAAAATCCATTCGAAAAATTCTGATTCTGATGATTTCTATTGCATCCATATACAACCTTCAATCGGTCAATTAGTTCTACCTTGTTCTATAAATTAAAATATATTGCTATTTCGATTTAAGAAAAATCAAGTTATAACTTACTCAAGTAGACACATGCTTGTGAAGTTTTCAGGATCAGGACCGTATATTTTTTTCTCGGAAGAAAAGAGGGCCATACCGCGGTTACAAGAAAGAACGAAGTACATCTCGTAAAAGTGATAAAGACGATGGTGGACACATGCCATTTGTTCCATTAGATCAGACAGACTAATTATTCAATTATGTAATATCGTGATAGTATAATAATGAAGTTTATATATGTCAGTAACTAATCACTAAAATAAGTAATACTGCAAACATACCATTTAAACTTTTACCAATTTTGGCTCAATGAACTTTGCATAGAAGAAGAAAAACAAGCGTATAATTTGAACAAAAATAATTCACCATTTGACAAAAGAGAAATGGTAAAAGTAGGGAAATCTGTAGTGGTCAAATTCAAATAATGAGTGCACATTGTAATACAGCTGCAGAATCTTTGCATATTGTCTAACAAACATATCATTTGAATGTAATCAAAACATATCATATTGATGTAGTCTAATTCCAATTTTGTACCAAAACAGCATTTTGTCTTGTCGTAGATAATAATTAACAATGTAAACTGAGTGAAGGAATATCAATCAATATAGTATGCGATTGTATTTCTTTCTTAGTCAGCGATTTTAGAACATTTGCTTTGTAATTGCTAATGAAACTGATGATATTTGGTTTCTAACAAAAAAAATATTGCAAGGAAATGATCTGCAAACTTCTTAAATTCCGAATTGTGCATACGTTACGCAACATTTTATGCTCGTGCAAGTGTAATTGACAGATACTGCAGAGAAAACAGGACAAAATACACCTAAAAAGCCATTAGGATTTATCATTATCGAAGAAGAAATTTGTACGTTTATCAATGCCTTGAAATTTGAAAAATACCTTCAAGATCTGTTCCATGACATCTCAAGAACACACTCACGTACGACACGTAACAATAACAGACTGGCGCTGTGGGAGGGGCCATTGCAGAGGTGGAGGGAAGGTTGCGAAATTCTGGGCAGCATGCCAGCGTAAGTCTTGTACACTCATTTGCATTCGACGACTCACAGATCGGTAAGGCAGTTGTCGAGTCCCTTCTCTTGCATTACGTGGGTCGCTACAATCGCTACTTTCATGCCCTCTCTATATGTTGTCTTCCTTACGTTTTTGAATATCATATTCATCGTTTACTATAAAAACTCAATCACTTCCACGTGAATTTGCAAAAAAGCAGTGCTGCAGGCTTATTTGAAAGAGCATTCATTGCAGGAATAAGGTTCTGGTCACTCTGCCTAGTCATAGCGACCACATTTTGACGAGCGAGGAGCGGCCTGAACCTGCCAAGGAAAGCTCGTAGATGCCGGCTTCGTCCGTCGAAAGCGACGACGAAGCAGTTCTGCGAGAAGGTCTGCAAGAGATTTCCATGTATTTTTCTTGTTTAACAATGTTATTTGTTTCTTGCAATGTTCTCGTAAGAAAAAAACAATTGACACCACGTTTTTAGAGCAATAATTTGTGTGATATTGCAGAGGTAGCGATTTATCAGCTGCGTGGATCTTTTGAGAGGCTTCGCCACGTCGGCATCCATGATCAGCTGAATTGAAAAGCTCAAAGGAGGTTGGGAGATGCCGACACTCAACACTATGATGTAGTGGTCGATGAAAGTAAGACCACTATCGGTTAGTATTTATACTTTTTAATGAAGGGTACAAGAAAAATATCAGAGATGAGTGTGATTTCTAATCATGTGAATTTAGAAATGGTGAAGTATCACAATGTAATGAATTTTCAGTGAGTAACATCGAATCCAGTTTACTACCTTGGATTATATATGACCCTCTACCACTTTCACGGCTGCATAGAAACAAACAGCAGTGAAAGTATGTATACATGACTGGTGTCTCTGATGGCTCCGATA